AGTGTCCCCCAGCCACCCCCTGCGCACACCATTTCACCCACCACGGCACCCGCCATGGCCAGCAGCGGCCCAGCCCCACCCGCCGCCGCCGCCAGCACCGTCCTGGAGCCCAGCGAGCCCACTGACGCCCGGCCCCTGCCTGCCCCGGCAGCCTGTGGCTCCTTCACTGCCTTCAGCTCCGGTGCTCACCCAGGCCTCCCTGGGGCTCTTTCCCCGGCTCCTGCCACCTTGCTTCCCGCAGGGCCTCTTGCTCCCCGGGTAGCACTCCTCGGGCCTGCCCTCCACATCCCGCGCTCTGGCCCCTGCACAAGGGCACGTCCCTGACCCCGGGCGTCTGGCGGGCTGCCTCTGCTTCGCCTGTTGGGGTCCAAGGCTTCCGGGCCAGGCCCGTCCACGGCGCCTCCACGCAGGGCTGGGTGGCAAAGACCTCCATCTCCCTCTCCCTCTGCCGACACCCTGGCTCTGCTTTTTCTTCTCCCAGCCCTCTCTCCCCCGGCCCAGCAGGCCTCGGAAGACATGGTGCAGGGGGTGGGGGGCACTAGCTGTCGGCCAGCTCTGGTGTGGGGGAGACAGAAGCTGCCACAAGAGGTAGGGAGTGGCCTGGGATGGAGAGCAAGCCCAATGATGGGAGGACCCCTCCCACCCTCCTGCATTTATTCACCTCCAGTTAGGTTTCAGAGGCCCAGCATGGGCGAGGCACCTTTCTAGAGCACAGCAGGGAGTGAGGCCACAGAGACCTCTGTCTTTTTTTTTTTTTGAGTCAGAGTCTCACTCTGTCGCCCAGACTGGAGTGCAGTGACCGCTCCTGGCCACCGCAGCCTCTACCTGCTGGGCTCTGGCGATCCTTCCGCCTCAGCCTTCCAAGTAGCTGGAACTACAGGCGCGCGTTGCCACGCCCGGCTAATTTTTTTATTTATTGTAGAGATGAGGTCTCACCAAGTTGCCCAGGCGGGTCTCGAACCCGCGGGCTCAGGCAATCCACTCACCTCAGCCTCCCAAAGGCGCGGGATTACAGGCTGAGCCACCGAGCCGAGCCCCGGGTGGGGGCAGGTACAGGAAACAAGATAAGGCAGATTAAGAGGGTGTCACCCAGTGACAGCCACACTGAGGGAACTAGGCAGGGAGAGGGCATGGGGGTGGCAGGGCTTGCAGATTGAATAGGGTCTCCAGGCCAGGCCTCATTAGGGCAACATGTGAGCAAGAACCCTGCGGCAGGATCAGCAAATGCAAAGACTCTGAGGCAGCATGCCCCAGGGACAAGGAGGCCACACTGGCTGCTCTCAAGGGAGTCAGGAACCACAGGAGATACGGGCTGACTCAGGATTTCCTGGGAGAACGGACTATAGGAGGAAGGGTGGAAGCAGGTGGCCAGTGAGCTGGAGTCCAGGTCACAAGTGCTGGCAGCCTGGCTGGGTGGTGGTGGCAGAGACGGGGACGCATGGCTGCTTACTAGGTCTGGTTTGAAAGTGGAGCAACAGGGACTCATCAGGGACCCAGGCTCAGCCTTGTCATGGAGCCCCAGGCCATG